TATTGTATACGTAATTGTATATACTATTATTATCTATGTTATTATTGTATGTTTATGTTATTATTATTGTTTGATTATTCAATTTGCAGTGATCGATCCGTTCAGCGACGATAACCCGTTCGAATCGAGCTCAAAAAGCCAAACGCAAGCAAAATCGGCGCCGCCCCCTCGACCCGAACCACCCAAAACAAAACAGACATTCACTCAGAACGTCGACCCGTTCTCGCAAGTGTTCGTTTTGTTTATTTATTTATTATTATTGTTATTATTATTGTTTCTGTTGTTGTTATTATTATTAATTATTATTATTATTTATGTAAATAATTCCAGAGATCCGTTTCAATCAAATCAAGACGCAAGTAATACGCCGAATCAATTCGCCAACTTTGCTAATTTTGATGCGTTTCCATCGTAATTATTTATTGTTTGAGGAGTAATAATCATTTTTTATTGTGAACTATAGTTTTGTATTATTTATTATTACTATTACATTATTATTATTTATTATTATTACTGATCGATTCTGAGTTACCATTGTAGTTATTACTGTGGTGGTTAGTTGGTGTTTCTTATAATTATAATATTATTATAGTTATTATTATGTTTATTCATTATAATTGTAATTAGTTTTGTTTGGAGAATTGGATGTTAGCTAAGTGTGTTGGGAAACTTCGCCAAAAGATTGTGGGCGGGGCTTGGATGGTATTTGTGACGGTCATTTTGCCAATGGTTATGTGACATTGCCAATATTTGTGACGGTCATTTTGCCAATTGGGCGCCGCTCATGAACATTTGTCGAAATGACCCTTGGATAGATTTTGCTGACAGTAGGATGTGTTAGTGTTGTTTAGTTGTGAGGGTAATTTCGGTGTTCTGTTGAAGGGAAAATCAGTACGATTATTTATTATTCGTTTTATTGTTATTATTATTTTTATTGCTATCATTATTAGGCACTTGTTTACTTCGGGGGCGGGGAGGGGTCGCACGCTCGCGTACAACAATACACGCTCACACATTATGAACGACGCTTTCACGCAGACTGACGCCACGCCCACTGCGCATGGCCTCAGCCTAAGCGTAGTCTCGGCCTAAGCCGAAACCTGAGCTGGCTTGCTAGCCTCTGTTGTGACATCGAGCGATCTGAGGCTACGCTTAGATGAGGCTGAGGTTACGCTTATTTTTAGGTTGAAGCCAAATGCAGTGGGCGTGGCCTCGGTTGTTATATGCGAGCGTGCTCGCTTGCGACCCCTCCCCCTCAAAATAAATAAGTGCCCAATATAATCGATCTAGTCTCTCAAAAAAATGCTTACGATGATTTTAAATGATGTTTTATTTATTCGTATTAACTTTTGTGGCATTCCTTCTGAATGGAGGGCGCGCGCGCGCGCAACCCGTTCAGTGCATCCCGTCATAAGCGTGCAGTGGGTGGGGCAACGCTCGCGGACAGAGGCGTGTGCGAAGAGTTTCATGCATGATTCCGAGCGATTTTTTGAAACTGTTCATTGTCATATAATTGACCAGATTTCAATTATTGTGTCATATTTTCAACATTCAATCGTCAATTCGATCAGCACTCATCACTACAATTTATTATTATTATCGATAATTCGTGTGTTGTTTATGTAAAGTCTTTAATATTTATAATGTTTAATTTATTTTTGTGAANGCGTGCGCGGGCGTACGCGCGGACACGCCCACCGAAGTGTTGTGTAACGCATAACACAACGGGCGTGGCCCAAAGCGCGCATGACAACGTGCGGCAGTGTAGTTGAAAGCGCAAATCGTTTGTCTGCGTGCGGGTGGAGGCACTAAACAGCATAAGTGCCAAAACAATTACACTACTAAATACTATTATTTTCTTAAGATTTTTGTAAATAATATCACTGACTGCTTAATTTTACTATTAATTTTGCTGTCAAAGCGTCCATCCAAAGCCAAAATCACAAAGCGCACTCCAAACGGCATGTACAAAGCCCGATCTCGAATCCATCAAGCCGACGATTTGTTCCGAGGGGACGGATTGTACCCATCGTTTGGGTGTGCGGACGAACTGCCAAAATCATTACGCTGTATCGGATTGACTAAAATTTATTTTGCAGCAATCAATATGGCATTTATTGTTGCTATTGTTTTTGTTATTTTTATTGTTGTTGTTATTTATTGTATCTATTAAATATCATTGAGGATATTGATAATATTAATGGGAATATTGGCAATGTAATTCTAATTTCAGGATTTAAAAAAATTCGACTGCAATTCGAAAAATTATATCGTCACAAACGTGGTGGATTGTATCAATTTTGTGATATGTTATATAAATGAGACATAATTACAGCAGTTGTCTTATTTACTATTATATTTTGTAATCAATTCCAATTATAATAAATACGAATAGATAAATATGGATAATAATAATAATAACAATAATAATAATAATAATGTTAATATTAATAATAATATTAATATGAACGCCCCGAATGCATCGGCCGAAGTCATCGCGTTTAATGCGCAGCCGATTGCGGCACAAGTCCAGCAGCAAATTAATAATATTAATAATAATAACAACAATAATAACAATAATCAATTTGGTATGTTATCTTATTATTTAATATTTGACAATTGCAGTTTTATTACTTACTATTTAATAGCAGTTACTTTAATCTCTATTAGTTATTTTATTATTTATTTGTTATTTATTATTATTGTTTTTTATTTTCATTTATTACTTGTTATTCGTTATTGTTATTTCATTACTTATTTGTTATTTATTATTATTATTGTTTTTTTATTTTCATTATTTTTTATTTTCATTTATTATTGTTAGTGTTAAACCTGCAGAAGTGAAATTGCATTTGAGTTTCGGTATGATTCTATTGTTTCTGTATAAAATGTTTATTATAATAGAAATGATGTAAAATAAAAAATGTATTATGTACAGTAATGAATTTAATAATAAATATTTAAGTATAATAAATGATAATAAATATTTAAATATAATAAATAATAATATTTAAGTTTAGTAAATGATAATAAATATATGATATACAGATAACAATAAATATTCAAATAGATAATAAATAAGAATAAATATTTAAATGTAATAACAAACGATAAAAAATGTCAGGTGCCGTTCGAGATAGGTTATTTCACGCGATGTTGGTGCGTATGGCACTTAGTTATACGAGACACGTGCCGCGTTTCGGCAGGAGATTCATTGAGTTTTTTGTGCTGTTGATCGTGAGTGCATTTTGCTTATTATTGTTATTTATTATTGTTATTTATTATTATTATTTATTATTATTATTGTTATTATATTTGTTGTTATAATCAGTGATATAAAGATTCATTTGATTTCTCGATGAAAGGAGTGAGTACGATGCGCAGTAGTAGTTTGAGTATAAAGAATTGTNTACAATGAAACTTAATAATAATGGTGATAGCGAGTAATAACTGATAAGTGAAAATTGAGGCGATATTACTGTTGTGTCTGATGATATATGTGCATATAATATTCAACCGGAACGATAGCAGATGCCTGTCGGATCTGATTGACAAATGGCCACGGGACGGAGTGCTGCGGGTCGAGGTGATCAGCGATCTGCATAAGTTTTATGCGTACCAGGACAGGGCGTTCGGTGCGGTTTGCTCTTATTGTGATCAGTAACGTATTATTATTGTTGTTATTATTATTATTATTATTATTATTATTATTATTATTATTATTATTATTATTATTATTNAGATGTTGTATGTTGATATGGAAAAGGAACGCAGGTTGAGAAGAGTTTTGTATCGATATTGTTGTGAGGATTTCGGTATAATAATTACAAATAAATTACAGAAAGGTGGAATAATGAGCAAAAGAATTCAACGGAATTCAGTTTAAAACGCATTCTGCAAGAAGGACCGAAGGCACTGCCGAAGGAGTTGAGAAAAGGGGGTGGTGGTGGTTCGAGGTGGGGTGTTTATTTGTTGTTGTTTTTATTTATTATTGTTTATTGTTGTGACTATTACAGACAGAAAGTGGACCATTGGAGCAGTTTTCTGAGTGGAGACGACTCTATTTTAAATATATTCTCAAGATCGGATTATTCGAAAAACAGGAAGAAATTTTTATTTGATGATTATAATTATTACGGGGAGGACGGCGATCTGGTCGATTATTACGATGAATCCTTTTTGGATGGTGGATTTTATTTATTATTGTTGTTTGTTATTATTATTGTTATTATT